CCAGGTCACGCTGGATGGCAGCGCGGCCCTCTGGAGCGTCAGCCACCCCTCCCAGTTTGGTATCATCAGCGAACTTGCTGAGGATCCACTCTGTCCCCTAATCCAGGTCATTAATGAACACATCGAACAAAATTGGACCGAGTATCAACCCCTGGGGGACACCACTGGTTACAGGCCTCCAACGAGACTTCGTGCCACTGATCACAACCCTCTGAGTTGTGCCCTGTGAAGTGGCATTCTGGTGCCCAGCCCTGTCCGCTTGTCCCTGGGCAGGGGGCAGGGCTGGGGATGGGACCCCACGGTCGGAGCCAGGCTCAGCCAGGGAGGAGTGGTCCCGGTGGGGCAGATCCAGGTGGCTTCTCAGGGGACAAACCCTGCCCTGCGCTCTGCGAGATTTAGAGGATGAGGTTTGGCCGTAGCAGCTCTGGGGGTGGGGGCTGGAGCCTGTCCCAGACTGTCCCACACGGGAGGTGATGCTGAGCTGGAGGGAGCTGTGGATGGAGAAGCCCTGAAAGCTCAGCGCTGCTCTGGCTCCCGCTCCCTCCACACACTCAGAAAGGGGCAGACTTCACTTTCTCAGCGGTTTGTTGTTTTGTTTTTTTTTCCCCCTGTATATTAAGCCGCCTCTTAGGAAAAGCCGCTTAGGCTTGGGGTTAAATGTAATCATCTTAGAAAAATCTGCGTGCGTTGGAAGAGATCCACTCGCTAACCCGGGTTGTCCCTCCCGGCAAGGGAGAAACCACCCCTGGCTGCATCTCCGGCTCGCTGGGCAGTCCAGGGATGGGACGGGACCCTCTGCTGTCATCACTGGGGGGATGCTCTCTGGGATCGGGGTGGCACTGCCGGGGAACCCTTCGCCACGGAGCGAAGCCACCACCAGCCACCCGGGCTCGCTCCCATCCCACCTCCCGCCCGCCGGAGCTCCCGCCCTGGGGGGGGGGGGGTTCAACTCCCAGGAGTGTTTCTCTCTGGCTGGCAGGCGCCTCCTCAGCCAGACGCCTGGAGAGGTTGGGACGAGGCAGGGACATGTTTGGGACGTGCTCCAGCAGGCTCCAGGGCTGTCCTGCCTGTCCACTGCCCCCATTCCCTCCTCCTCCTCCTCCTCCCGGCATGTGACTGTGGGCACCCAGCACCCTGTCCTTCCTCCTGCTGGGTGCTGCGGGAGGGTGGGGGTGATGTTGGAGCCCCCCTCGTGCCATGCTGTAGGGACTCCCAGCAGTGACATCTCGGAGGTAGCCAAAGTGGAGCTGGCTCGGGGACGGGGCTCTGACTCAGCCCCGATGCTTCTCGGATGCTTTTCTCTTCCTCCTGTGCTATGTCGCTCCCTGCAGGGCCCCCCCCTTCCTCCACCCCCCCCGACTGCCCCATGTGGTGGTGCTAGTGGGTTCATCAGCCCCCATGCAGTGTTGGGGGTCACTGAGACCCCCATCCTGCTGAGTCCCTGCTGTGCCATCAGGGCTTGCCGAGCCCCCAGGTCCCCATAGAATCACAGAATGGTTTGGGTTGGAAGGGACCTTGAAGACCACCCAGTTCCACCCCCTGCCCTGGGCAGGGACACCTCCCACCAGCCCAGGTTGCTCCAAGCCCCGTCCAACCTGGCCTTGAACACCTCCAGGGATGGGGCAGCCACAGCTTCTCGGGGCAACCTGCCCCAGGGGCTCACCGCCCTCACGGGAAAGAATTTCTTCCCAATATCTCATCTATATCTCCCCTCTTCCAGTTTGAAGCCATTCCCCCTCGTCCTGTCACCACATGCCCTTGGAAAAAGTCCCTCCCCAGCTCTCCTGTCGGCCCCACATGCACCATCAGGGTTTGCTTGTTAACCCCCCTGTCCTGCTGAGCCCCTGCTCCCGCCGTGCTGTCGGGACTCATCGAGTCCCCAAGTCCCCGGGTACCATCGGGGCTTGCTGCCCCCGGGCTCCTGCTGCGCCGGTTGGCCTTGCTGAGTCCTGGGGTCCCCATGCACCATCGGGGGTCACTGAGCCCCCTCCTCCCGCTCAGCCCCTGCCCTTTGTCCGGCTCTGGGGGGGGGGAAATCCATGGACAAAGTGGGAGTCCCCCAACCACTGGTGTGTCTGGGAGACTTGCCCCCCGCCCCAGTTAAAGACAGGGCCGTGGGATGGGATCCCCCAGTCCTGACGACAGCCCTGGTGGGTCCGAGGGTGGGGGGGATGCAAGGGACCCCCTGCAAAGATGGGCTTGGGTGCTGCAAGCTGCCCCTCGCTCCCCGTGCCGGGCCGCTCACTCCTTGCCCCCCCACCACTATCCCCTCCCCAGGGATCTCCGAGGACTCCAAAGTGGAGGCTCCAGCCTTCACGGAC